TAAGTTAAAGTGACTGTGGAAATTAAGTGTATTGCAAAGTTGTATTGAGAAAGAATAAACTAGTTTTACTTAAGAAAGGACTTGTATCGCTAAAGTATCATCCGAAAGACATTATATGGGAAATTAACAAACGACCAGAGATGTAACAATAATTTGATCTTGTAATTAACGTTCACATAGTTAGATAAATCAGCACACAGGTAACTAAGTGCCCATTAATCATGGCTAAAGTTATCATGAATCTTGCACAAAGTGCATATGTGAGATTAAACAACAACTGAAGAGATTGTACTGTGTAAACAAACACTATTCAGATAGTGAAACAACAAATTGTTAATAGGAGGTAGAAATTGATGTCTATGACATTGTGATGTACTCTAACATACCACTTTGAAACTGGTAAAAGTCATCAGTTTTTACATCTATGAAATAAGTGTATGATAATTACAAATCAGAGTAAGCATACTTTATTCTAACAGTCAGGCTGATTGTCAGTTACCATTTGTCTTCAAAGTGCAAAATATAGTTGTTCATGATCAATTATCAACTAACTTAAAAACTAGTTGCTTGATAATCTGATTAAAGTCATGTTTCTTTCGTTAGCAAAGTGTGTAGGCATGAAGGCCAGATTAATCAGACATGGTCAATTAACAGGTCATCTGCTTGACAGCTCACCTATAGATATACAAATCAATCCAACATCACTCTCTCATTTAATTGGTAGTTGTGTGACTCAGGTCTCTGAATTAACAGGAAACCACATGACATCCATGAGCTCTGCTATTGTTTACCTGTGCCAAGCCAATTTGTAATGTATGCTAACTATCTGCACCTAACACCAGCCTCAAAATGTATACATGTTTGGTATTGGTGGTATGTTTAAAGTTAGAAACAGCATTAGAACACTAAAACCAATAGGTTTTTTTGTACATGTATAAACCACAGTTTTTGTAACTGAATATTCCTATATAATAGTTTTTGTAGTGAACGTGAAAATAATCTGTGCACAAAATACTCAGAGTTCTGGATTATTAAGAACCCTGTCTTGAGATAAGTTGACAGTGTATAATAGCTAAAGCTTTATTTAATACTTGGAAGCAATTCAGAACAATTGTTCCATTTACCAGTTTCTTTCGATTATAGTAATTCGGGGGAGTAGAATTCTGAGATAGTTAGTTCTGACTAAGGTTGCCACCTGAACAGTTTTTAAATAAGGAACATTTTTTTGTTTTTGTTTGATCATTTTCAGCATCTCTCTAAAACTTTAACACTGGAGGCAAATGAGATTTCAAAAAAAAAGCCTAAATGTACCTAAAACTAAGTAAGGAACATTTATGTTCCATTTTTACCTGAAAAAAAAGTTACATTGTTCTACTGCATAAGGACCAATTCTGTGTCATAACAAGTGGTAACCCTAGATCTGTTAATTAAAGCATTCTGAGAAACATAATGTCATGCAAATAAAATTTGTTAGTCAGTTTCAAGATAGATATATATACTTCATGTACACTGTACATATATATTTAAGTAAAACAATTTTGTAAGCATATTTTTCCTTAATAAAAAGTTTAAACTGCAATTTGCAACGTGTAGTTTTAAAAAATCTTGAGGATAAAATTTTAGAATAGTAAAATACAAATGAAGTTGTTTAAACACACATACACATAAAATAGAAAGGTAATAACAAACAAGATATTTTTTAAATAAGCAGGTGCATAAGAGACTATTAATTAGTCTAACAGATATATTTCATGCTGTAATATAATGCTTGAAATTTACTCTTGAACGTTTTTGTTAATGTGAGGCAAATTCTTAAGTGGTCAGTAAATTATATATATATATATATATATATATATAAAGAATGTTAAGTTCATTCATTGTAAGATGTTTAAATGGAATATAATGTGAAGATTATAGTAATTGTAGCAAGGGAAATAATTCATAATTGAATGATATTTCAATATAGTAA